TGTCGTCAATGCTGTTTTACGTTTAAACAATGACAAATCCCGCGTCGGCCATTTAGCCGCTAATGCTAAGCGTGCTGCGCTAATTATCCTTTATGTCTCACAACATAGAACAGCACACGAATAAAGAACAATTATTGCGTTGTATGAGCTACTTTAAATTATTCATAGATTTAGAAAAAAAAGTTACCTGAGGCCATCTTTCAGGAGGAAATAAAATGAACTGACCACCTATTCCAAAAATAAGAAATTAAAAACCCGGCACGAGAGAAACGCGCACTGCAGCTCTTATGAACTTTGACCCGAGACCGGATAGTACCTTCTACTTAGCGGGAACGGGTGGATTAATCCATTTATTTGGCACATATAACATAAGAAATACTGCAGCAAATATTATTAAGCGCAATTTATTGCGAAACTGCTAATAGATAAAGTGAAAACATCAGGTTCTAACATATATTTTGTCAACATGTATTTGGGTAAAGACCCCTGTTTGTTGAAAAGTGGTATAAACTTTGCGCCTTTTCTGTCACGTGATCTCCAACAGGGTTGTGTGACGTCACGGAATGATCGTACTTACTTCATTAGTTTTCACCACTGATCTATATAGAATGACATGTCATTATATAGATCAGTGGTTTTCACGTTAATAATTTTATTTAACTGTTTTCATTAGGTTAAAAGGCCTAAGGTTGCCACCCGTCCAATACGGGGATCGTCCCGTTTTTAAAAGTGAAGTGATTTTGTCCCGCAAAATCTCTAGGTAATTTGTACCTACACATAATGGGATAAATAATGTCTTTACAGTGTAGAGAGAATGCTAACAGCAAATGTAAACAAAACAAGAAATAGCAGAAATGCTCATTTGTGCATGATTGCGTAGCGTCCTTGTTTCCCTAGCGACGGAGTCTGAGGTCACGCGCTGTAACTTGCTCGTTTTAAACATGCCGATCTCCACACCCACACCCACTCCACAAGATCTGTGTCTAGAGATTTAGAGATATAGAATTATGAATATGCTCAAGATGGACTGTCCCACATAACATAGAATAAAGGAGGTGGTCACTGCTAATTCAGCTGCTTTGCCAATTCTATTACCACTTAACTCCTTAATAAATAGATGTTAATGTTGTTTCTGTGAACAGTACTATGTAGGGTATTATGTAATACCTAAATGTTTGTGTTGCTATGCTGTGTCTCAGTGTTGTATAACATCTTGTTGTGGAGAGACTTGTTTTGCTGTGTTTTCTGTTGTATCTAATGATGATGTTGTGATTGGTTTCTTATTGTTGTTTGTTATTTGTTTAATCCTGCTATCCGACCCTGTCTTGACGGTCTCACTTGTAAAAGAGGTTTTAACCTCAATGTGATATACAATTCTTACTTTTCTCGCAAAAACTCGTATAACTTGCAATTCTGACTAAAACGCAATTGCAACGTTATATCAATTGCAAGTTTATTTTACACAATTCATACTTTTTTTCTGCAATTCTGACTTTATAACACACAATTGCGACTTTATATCTTGCAATTCTGAGAAAAAATCAGAATTGCGAAATGTAAACTCAGAATTGTGAGATAAAAAGTCAGAATTACCCTTTTTATTTTTTATTCAGTGGCGGAAACAAGCTTGCATATACCGTGCTGTACCAGCCTCAAGTGGGAATATAGCTGCAGGCAGCGATGACGGGCCCAAGCCCCTGTGGCTCCACCATCCCGGACCCGGTGGCTTCAGGACACCTGTGCACTGCGGGGAATAGGCTTTTAAAACGGATAAACATAAAAGCACTGTCAAAGTCATTTGAATGCAGCAGTTGGTGCCGCTATGACCACGAACCACAACAGCCACATCCAAGAGATCATTTACATTTAGATGAATTTCATGTCCATAGGATGTCATATAGGTCAATTTCAAATAAGTAATAATCCGAATCTGCCATGTCTGTGTTTTTCTCAGACAACCACTATAAAAAATCCAGAGCAGATTACCGACTGGTTTTTGGCAAACAGTTCTCGGAGAAGTCTAATCCCGTCCTGATGCGCATGTCTGTGATTGCTGATGTTGTCCTAACGCTTCTCTTCATGTGTTTTTGACCTGAACTATACCGTTTGTGCCCCAATCTTACGCACTAAAAGCATGCTCTCATTAAATTTCAATATGGGTGGTCTCCGATGAAAAATAAAATGAATAAATAGAGCCAAATCACGGAAACTGCAAAGATCTGTTTCAGGTAAGAGTAAGATTCGTGTTTAGATTTTTCTGCTCACTTATGAAAGTTTATTATAAACAGACACTTGTACAAAATCATGTGAAATAACATGTGTAATGTATGTTTACAGAATTATTCTGGCAAACACAGGTGCCAAATTATTATAAAAAATTTTTACAGTGTAGCAACTGCACTAGTCAAGTCACAGTTATTTATATAGTGCTTTTTACAATACAGAGTGTTTCAAAGCAGCTTTACAGAGATAACAGGAAAATAATGCAACAAAGTTTGTTTCCAGAAGAAAATAGCGTCACAGTCCAGCTTAAGTTCAGTGATGTTTCATTCTTGTTGTAAAAAAGTTATTAATTTAGTTAATTTATATATATATATATATATATAGCCACTCTGGAGAAAACCATGATGTCATCGTCCAGCTCAGTTCAGTACTTCATAGGGTCAATGCAGGCAGATGAATATTATTGTTGAATATTAAATTAAATGTCACCAACTAAGGGCAACCCGAAAGCCAAAAGCCAATGACGACAAAGGCGAAAAAAGGTGGAAAAGGCGACAGTGCCGATGAACCGAATGTCCATCAGTGGCAGAATGGAGAAATAAACCTTGGGAGAACCCAGGCTCAGTCGCTCAGTTCTCCTCTGGACAACGAGCGAACAGTGTGTGATTATGATTCAGGCATTACGCTGAGGTCAGACTGGATCAGAACAATCAGAATATCATCCAGTTCATCTGGGTGAAGATCGGAGTCACGCCGGTATGGAGACGAGAGTGTTGAGGCTGTCGTGTCGATGAGGCCTTACAACAGAAATGACCCATCACTGAACTTACTTTAGCTGGACTGTATTTCCTCTAGAGCTGCTGTACAGCCGAAACAAACTCTGTTGCATTATTTTCCTGTTATCACTGTAAAGCTGCTTTGAAACAATCTTGTAAAAAGTGCAATATATATAAAGGTGACTTGACTATGCATGCACCAACATACATCTCAAAACGACACATCTACACAAACTACACATCCCCCGCATGATTATCATCACTGTGTTGCTTTAGTGACAGTTTCATATTAAATCTAAAGGGGGAATCTATTAGACGGTGGCTGTCAAATGCGGCTTTATCGAGCTCAGCGGCTCTGGCCCAGCTGTGATACAAGCGGAACACTATGGCTATTTTTAAAAGGGGAGGAGCTGCTCAATATGCCCCGCCCCGTCTTCCTGTTTCAGTGGAAGTGCGTCTCCACATTGGAAAACACGTTTCAAGGAGCGTCAGTGGGCCTTTAACTTACCTTGATTATTTGAGGAATCTGTGATTGTTTCAGTTTTAGTCCTGCACTGTAAAGTGGAGGATCACCCACCCACCCATTATTTCTATCAGTGTAATGGTGTTTGAATAATTTTTATTTGTGTTTTCAAAGAGAAATAATAAGTTGCTTTTTTAAAAGTGATCAATCTTCAAACTACATTATTAACTAACCTAAATTTGACAATGTAATGTTATCAAAAACATAATTATATGGTGAAACATCACACCATTAATGGAGGTGATCAAATCCTCCTCGTGACAATATTAATATCAGTGTCACACAACTTTTAGCATGCGAAACTCAACAATGGTAACAATGAAATACATTTTGCTAAGACGCACATTTTTCTTCTCTCCATACTTCCCACTTCCGCACGTTAGTGTTGACGACTTTTAATAATATTCTAAAATGTGGAAAATAGTAATGAATAAGTAGGTGTGTCCAACTTTTCACCTTTATAATAGGCAAACTACCTCTAAGATTATAGACAACAAATCTTTCCTTACATGTAGAGGAACAAATCAGACAGGTGGAAGTGAACAAACATGGGTTAAGGACAAAGGTGATGTTAAATTGAAAATTTAATCATTACACAGATATGCCTAAAGAGTTGTAATGTACTGGAAACAATAGTTGCATATAAAACTTGATGAAGTCCTGCCCAAAAACCAACAACTACTTCTACTTAGTTTTCTATCATCTCCCAAAATAGTAAAGTTTTCAGCAGCGATGCTGGTCTTCAAGATCCACTAATGAAAATGCAAACTACACCGTAAATAAGGCACACGAGCTTGACCAATCAGCTCTTCAGACCGGCATGTGTTCCCTTGTCTGTGTCTCCGCATTATAAACACACTCTCTTAGAGATACAACGAGTAAGTCTGTTACGTCTAGTGTAGTCGTTGTGAGAACAGAATAGGGTTGAGCATTTCTGGCACTTCCAGGATTAATTAAATCTGTGAGGGTCATCCAGTTTGAAATGGTTACATTCATATTCAGCCATAATTCAAAAAAAGGTGGGGCAAGAAATAAAGACGTTTAAATGCTTTAGAGAACTACAAAAAAATAAAACAAGTGTGATCCACCTTCACAGCACAACTGCATGTTTGGACTGTTTATGACCTCTGAAGGTTTCCAAAATATTTCAGAAATTCACAGGAAAATCGTCAAATATCAGTCAAAATCTCATAACTCCATGAAGAACCGTTTTTCAGTGAGTTAAAGTTTCTTCATGCTTACAACCCATACCATTACAAAGGTCCATGCACAACATGTGTTCGATTAGTATGTTAAAATCGTGATTCTATGCAGTCTTTTACATTTTTGAATACAATTTTTTCACTTTAGAATGAGGGAATGTGTGTCAGTGTTTTCTTTTCTTAGACAAACATGTCAGAACGATGATAGCAAAACACATATAAACTCTTCCTTATAAAAATCATCACAACATCAGGAATGTGGAGAACAGGAATGCTTTAACTCCAGACGTCCTGTGAATAGCGTCCTTTAGTCATCAGTTTCTTGATGTAATCTACAGCCTGAGCGCGGCTCATTCCTCCCAGCTCCTCGGCGATCTCGTAGAAGGCGTTCTGCACGTCCCGGGCCATGTTTCGGGCGTCTCTGCGGGAGGGAAAATCACGGGCAACATTAGAGCAGTTTCAGGGATGCCTCTGTCTCATGATGTCTCGACATGTTTTTGATTTTTCGGACTCGTTCTGTATACGCACCCACAGATGTAGATGTGGGCATTGTCTGTGTGGATTAGTTTCCAAACAGTCTCCTTGTTGTTCTTCAGGAGATGTTGTACATACACCTGGGTGTGAATACAAATAAAGTAAGTGATGCAGAGAATGGGTAAACAATTCATAAAAACAGAACAGCTCTCCCTTTTCCTGTGATTCATTCATAGATGTATTAATGCCATGACGTTTACAGGTTTTGATTAAATATAAGATGGGTTCAGAGAGGAAGTGTGGATTCTTTTTTTATATTTTGTCTCTCAATTACAAAATTAATGTTAACAAAGTTTTTTAGGGAGACATACTTGATAGTGGGACAAAATAACCGTAGAGGTGTGTGTGTGTGTGTTACGGTACCTTCTGTGCCTGGTCTCTGGAATAAGCTACATTGAGTGCCGTCAGAACACCAGTCTTCTCAAACTCCTCGAGCTCCTCTTGGTACAGAAAGTCCTCGTTCTTGTGACGACAGCCAAAGTACAACTCGGTCTCTCCAACTTCCTTACCTACAAATGGGAAATCAAGATGTTGATTACAAAAGTAGGGATTTGCACATAACTTCCCATTGTTTTTGAAACTAGTGCAGTGGGTAATGCAGATCCTAATAGTCCCAATCAGTGTTGGGGTAACACATTACAAGTAGCGCCAGTTACACAATCTGATTACTTTTTCGAGTAACTAGTAATGTAACATATTACTTTAAAAAATGTTCAAATAAGTGACGCATGTATTGACTGCCAGCTCTCCTGTGCCCATGTTGAGAGAAACCAGGAGTAAGTGCAGAGGTGTGCGTGTGTGCGCTGTGTGAACATGATGATTATTGTAGTGCTAGACTAAATGTGAAAGGCATTTACTCATCTCACTGCGGAGAAACACATTCAGGATTCCTTAAAACTAACAAAAACACTGATATGCAAACTCAGAATATTATGCAAACCTGCAAATTAAATATGTTAAATAATCAAATGTTAAATTATTACACAAATATACTTAAAGTATATGATCTCACTGCTGACAAATAGATAAACATCACATTACTTTCCAAAAAAATAACAAAGTAACTTTTTTAGGAAGTACCGTAATGCAATGTTGTAATGCATTTCCCAATACTGATACATAAAAAACTATAAAAACATAAAAAAGATAATACGTCCCTACAAAACAAATGGTTATATTTATGCTCTTAATATATGCAAGTAAATATAGTTGTTAAACAAGTATGTATGAATCTGTCATGGCTGCCAATGCAATTCTATTACGGGTATTGTAAATGAAACTGGTAAATGTGAAATATTACAATGATATACTGCACATGAAATATACAACAGGTAACGCTTTTTTATATTATTATTGATATGTTTGGGCTTCTCTCTTTCTATAACAGTCAAAGAGCGGTCACATCACACACCTAGACTGTGCCTTTCTGTAGAAACATGTATTGTGTTTTTACATCAACGTCTGGGACAAACTTAAATGAGTCATTTGAAGAACAAATGCAAAACCTTGACCAGAAAAACTAAACATTTCTGAGAGTGAGGTTACAAGATACAAGAGAAGTCCTGACGTGATATTACTGTGAAAGTGATGCAATTATTAACCGGGAATAGTATTAGATCCGTGCACTGGGTAAACTCGTACAACAGCGGCCGTCTGTGTCATTGATGTAATCACATAACAAGACAAGACCAGAACATAAATCACTCCCTGCTCTTAAAGGAATAGTTCACTTAAAAATGAAAATTCAGTCATCATTTACATTTCCAACTCGCCCTCACGTTGTTTCAAACCTGTATGAACACAAAAGAAGATATTTTGAAGAATGTGGGTAACCAGACAGTTGACTATGGGAGTCAATGGGGTCCATCAACTGTCTGGTTACCCACATTCTGCAAAATATCTTCTTTTGTGTTCATACAGGTTTGAAACAACGTGAGGGCGACGTTGGAACGTCCTTTAACTCAGCGACTTCAGTAGCTAACATCCGTGCCGTGTTTAACACTCACCTGGGCTACTGTGTGTGAAGGAAAAATATGAAAAACAGACAATATGCTTTATATCATGCATCTGATTTATGCACATAGTAAGCAAATGAATTAGAACAAAAGTTAAATGCGATTACTTCAGTTGTTGCGTTGATTTTGAACACATTTAGGAGAATGTCTCCGCCTCCCTTGCCTCTTCTGATTGTAATAAGCACACAACAGCAGAAATCCGTGACCTGCGCGACTCCTACCTTGTTCTTTGAGCCAGCCGCGCTCCTGAATGAAGCCAATGAAGGGTGCGATACCAGTTCCAGGTCCGATCATTATGACTGGGTTTGTGGCCTTGAAGGGCAGGCGGAACTGGGATTTGCGGATGTACATGGGCACTGTAGCCTTGTGTCCGTTGTCGGTGGGCATCTTGTTCTTCAGCCAGTTAGTGGCCACTCCTTTATTGACACGGCCAGTCTTGGTCTCGTACTCCACCACTACAGCACAGATGTGGATGCTGTTGGGGTGGACCTGTCACATGCAGCAAACATTTAAACACACACAACATACAAAGTCAATTATTTCATTTTAAAGAGACCCTATTATGGTATTTTAAAGGTTTCTGATTTTGTTTTTGGAGGTTTACATGAATTCAAGGTCAAAAAACACTATATTTCTCTCATAATATGCACTGCACATCACCTCATTTCTCAAAGAGTCTGAAAACGGTTCATTCAAAGATTCAGTCTCTCTAAACCCCTCCTTTCTTAGGGTCTACTCTGCTCTGCTCTGATTGGTCAGATGGCTCAGTCTGTTGTGATTGGTCCACTCTGCTCTGCTCTGATTGGTCAGATGGCCCAGTCTGTTGTGATTGGTCTACTATGCTCTGCTCTGATTGGTCAGATGACTCAGTCTGTTTTGATTGGTCTAACGCTTATAGCACGGGTCAAAAACAAAATGCCCATTACCATATCTGGCGCAAAAAACAGCATATTTTCGACATGTCGACAACAAAAGCCAAACTCTTCCAGGCCTCAGCTACACCTACAGTGTTTGAAGCTCGAAGTAGACATTGTTCATGGGCAACCAATGAAGACCATAGGCTGGCATTATGCAATTTTGTTACATTTTTGCGTAGGTTTGACACAGGAAGTGAGACTGGAATTACTGACGACTCGGTTCAGGGAGTTCGGAATCTTCCTTTTAGGAGAAAATAACTTTATTTGACGGGCACTTTGATCTTTGAAACTTCACAGTTATGTTACATTCACAAACGGCTATGTTATACACTGCATGAAAGGTGTTTAAGATCTGCTGATCCTACGTCCTGACATAAGCAATGTTCCTGCCAGTTCCTGTTCTCTTTATTGTAAGTTAAATGAGCCGGATTACTGAGACTCTCACCTTTTGTCATTGATAGCTCTTGGTGCCCCTTTCCCATTCTCTGAATAGTTATGCTGACTGGAGGCGGGTTCCTATATCTGGATACTTCATTTGCATGCTTTGTTTAAGGCTATTTTTTACAGTCTATGGTTTAAGGTCGTCACCCTTGGTGCTTTGTCTCTAACTCTATGCCCCTTAAATGTATATAAAACTACAATGGCCAGATCCCCAGTTGAACTTGATGACTGGAGCGTATACTAGTCTTCACTTCTGAGATTTCCTACAAAGATAATATCCGGAAAAAGCATAATGGGGCCCTTTAATAGTAAAGCGTCTAATTAGACAAATAAAAGCAAAGTGGCCGTGTTCATTTATTAAACCACAAATGGATGTGACTTTCAGTGTGCTCTGTGTTGCAGTGTGCTCAGTTATAGAGATGAAAATAACTCAGCTGAGTATTTTGCTAAATATATGCACTTTATTAAAATTCATTATATTTTTACTTAAGCTGATGCCTTTATATTTAATGTATGTTTGAATCCGTCATGAAAATGTGTCTGTTTTTTTTTATTACCGCCACCACTTGTTTATATTTCAACAACAAAATGAAAGAATTGGAGTAACATAAAAAAGTTGATATAAAAACTGCCTTATGTGCAATTAAAATGTTTGTTGATCATTAAATAAGTTTGATCAATTCATTGATTATTAAATAAATAGTATTTTCAGTTTCGGCAAGTTTTCAGCTAAATGAAAACTTTAATTTCGGTTTCAGTGTTTTGGTAAAATAATTGTTTTTTGTGCATCGCTACTTTAAAGGGGTACTTTTAAAATTAGTTGAGAGCAAGTTTAGTATATTTTTATTACACATAAGAAACAGTTCTGGTACAGTTCAAACCTGTACCAGTCACCAAATGGTAATGAGAAGCTCTTTGATGGACACACTTTAAAAATAGACCAGTTGGTGGCACACCACCATTAAAACAAGTCAGAAGATTTGATAATTAATCATGGCAAGCAAAGGGGACGGGCTAAGCCTTCGGAAAATACCCCAGAACATGCTGATTGATTGAACAGGATGAACAGAAATGCAGCAAGAATCTGTGTAAGAATGAGGTTTTTGAATGAGATGGTCAGATGATCAGCTGTCATCTCGGCTTTGTTGACTGACTAAAGTGTAACCTCTTATCCTCTGAAACTTCTTGACTTTGAGAGATTTCTTGCTAAGAGGAGATGATTTCATTATTCCACGGCACAAGCCACCAAAACGGCTCATTTTCTACTTCCTCCACATTGTGACTGACCGCCTCCACAACAACACATTAACACCTATGGCCCCGTTTACACCTGGTATTAAGATGCGTTTGGGTCAATCGGATCACAAGTGGACGAGGGAGACACACTCCCGTTTAAACCTGGTGTTTTAATCCGCCTCTTTTCCATTTTCAACCACTTCTGTCCTGATTTCTTCAAGGGGAGGGTCTGTGGGCGGGTTAATGTGTGGCTTTTTTCAAATCTTTCGATTTAATGGATGAAACGCACTCATGCAATTCACATATGAACGCACACGGAGATGACGGAAAAACATACGGAGAGCGTCAGCTTTAGTTTCTCCTCTGACAGCCGCAAGACCAGCCGAACACTGTGAGTGTGTGTGTTAGAGATCAGGAAGCGAGAGAGAACATTGTGCTTGGTACATTTTTCATCTTTAAACCAAACTTGGGTCTTCAGACGACAAAGATTAAATCCCGTCCGGCTAGCGCTTCTCATAATGTTCCGCATTAGGTCAGTAGGCGGAGAGAAGACGGTCTTGTGTGGCTGTTTGAACACATTCGTCCACATGAGCGTTTACACTACTAAAGCAATCCGGTCTAATGCGTTTTCAACAACCTTTTGGAAGTGGTTGAAAGTGGACGAGCTCAAAGCGTTTAAGACCCCGTTTACACCTGTGTTTAGCATCGTCCACTTGTGATCCGATCGACCAAACGCATCTTAACACCAGCTGTAAACAGGGCTCATGTTGCCTTATCGGTTCTGTAGCCCGAGTGAGCGGTGACGTGACAAGGAGAGAGAGATGCAATGTCAGTGTGTTTCTGCCAGAACCAATCGCCTCTTGGCCTCTGATTATACTATCTGAATAAATGTAAAGGCGCCGGAAAAATAAAACTTTTTCTCGTTTCTGACAGAGTGAGGGTGGAAAATAATCATGTTTTGCAAATGTATGATTATTTACCTAAATGAACCTCAAGAACAACAAAAATTGCTAAATGATCCAAAAATTATCCAAATATTGTTATTTATTCACTTTAAATAAAATATTAATATCATTTGTGAAGTGATTGTTTAGAATTTTATATATATATGTCATTTTCTGAAAGTTGAATCCAAAGCAGATTAATGACGACAAACATGCTATTGGTGGGAATAAGCGTCAGTTTCCTGTTTTCCGATCTGTAAAAAAAAAGGGGAGTCCCCTAATCTTTCTGTTGTCTTCTCTGGTGTCACGATACACCATTACCCCAAATATTACCATTAAGTTCTGGCAACCAACCCGAGTATTGTGATTTTACACAAGCGAGCACTACTCACTTTTATTTAAGAAAATGTAAACATCTAGCTTGATTTAATATTTAAAAGAAGTAATTTTGATATTCATAGAGTCTTAGAGCAAGGTATTCTGCTAGTGCTTACAATGCCTTTTTCCATTTTCATCTTTCTTTAGTGTGTGTAATGTTGCTCTTTAAGCATGAAAAAGCTCTGTTAAGTCCCTCCAGCAGGAGTTATTCTCTATATCAGTGTCAGTGTTTCTGAACTCCTGAAACGCCTCCATTGTAGTCTTGAGTTTCTGCCGGGAACGAGCACGTCACAATGTTCCTCATTTAAATAATTCATACGCAGAATAAAAGGGGCGGGGCCTGGTTGAGTTAGTTAGTAGTGTGTTGAAACTCGTGATTATGGTAAGGGGCGGGACATTTCCCAAACACACTCGAAGCGCTCGACCAATCACAACACACTGCTTCAGCCGAATAATCAGAGCACAGTGTGCTTTTCAGAAGGAGGGGCTTCATAGAGACAGGAACTAAACAGAGCGTTACTGACAGACTGGGAAGAGAGGAGCTGCAACAATGGAGAATAAGAGAAATATGATGTGTTTGAACCTTCAAGCAGGAGATCCTATTCTAGTACAGGCCAAAAAACACCAAGGGCATAATAGGTCCCCTATTCACCAGTCAAAAGTTTTAAAACCAAATTTTTTCCAGTTGTTATTGAATTTTATACCAGTATTACAGTGCCCGAGAAGTGCAAAACAAACCACAATTCAGAAAACAAAACAACAAATTTATAAACGCAATGGAAAGACTAAAAAGTTAGAAAACAAAATAACAAATCAGAAACCACAATGACAAGTCAGACAAAACGGTAAAGTTAGGTATATGTGGTGAATGGAATACTGACCGCTGATTGGACGATACATCTGTCAATCAAGACATGCAGAAAGTACAGCAGACTGCGGCAGAAGAAAGTCGATTCGCGTGTGCATGTGTAAACATTAGCTGAGCTGTATCGTCAAAGATAATATTTTTTTTATATATGTGCGAGGCTGTGAGCTGACATTATCGAGTATGTCACTCACTTTGCAAAAAACAAACATAAACACTACTAATGCAGTTATAATGCCCCTAAAAATCCAGATACAGGGGCAATGCCCCTGCGTGAGCTTTTGTCTAATATAATATGGTAGCCTATAGTTAAACACACAAGCAAGAGTGCTGTTTTTTCCACATGTGATATTAATTTTATACAGATCAGTAAACAAGAAGTTAATATTGTGAATTACAATTTGTCACTCGAGGGAGACTCGAACTCAGGTCGTCCGCATCAAAAGCTAAATCTGCTGTTCTTGCTACTCTCTCCCACTTTACCTGTCATCATTTTGTCTGACCAAACCAGATAGTGGTAGGACAGTTTTTTTCTCTCCATAATAATCGCACTAAATTAGCCGGTTAAATAGACAGCTCTAATATTTACACATGCACACACGAATCGACTTTCTTCTGCCGCAGTCTGCTGTACAGAAAGCATGTCTTGATTGACAGATGTATCGTCCAATCAGCGGTCAGTATTCCATTCGCCACTATACCTTCCTTTTCCGTTTTGTCTGACTTGTCGTTGTGTTTTCTGACTAGTTAATTTGTTTTCAGATATGTCGTTGTGTTGTCTGATTTGTTAATTTGTTTTTAGTCTTCCCATTGCATTTATAAATTTGTTGTTTTGGGAATTGTGGTTTGTTTTGCACTTCTCGGCCACCGTACAGTACGCCTCAAACCGTCAGATTCATCTGCGAGTAAGAGCAGAGTAATTTATATAGAGCATTATATAATGAAGTGCTTTCATTTGCAGTCTTTGCTGGAAAGAAGCTCATCAAAGAAGCTCAACAAGTGAAATGTAACCCATGAGTTAAATATTAGCATTTGTAGAAATGTTAATGCAAACACAGATACAAAAAGTCCCACATTCCGTCTTTAACGTGAAGTAGAAATGTCTGACCTTGGAGGATGATGAAATGGAGTAGTAGCGGGCCTGCAGTCGCGGCAGGAGCTCACAGAGGTGGTCAATGGGAGGACGCAACGACGGCAAATCCTCAAGAATAGCCAAAATATTCCTACTTGAGTCCAGCACCCAGTTCTGGTACAATGCCTGCGATATGACAACGACAATGTCACAAACACTGTTAGCTATTGCACAACAACATAATTACAATCTAGCCCACCCTGCATTTGCCTCACACAAGACACAGTACGCGTCTTCGGTACGCTGAAAAAACTGATTAGGTAAGACAACAGTCTATCACTTAATGAATCAACAGCCTATCTGCTAATCGTGTTCACCATTAAACATTAATTATAATGTTGTATTGTAAAAACACATTGCTGCTATTGAGGTGTGACACGGGTAAGGTTAGGGTCAATTTACTGTATGTATTAATTACATAAATTAATTACAGCTCTAATTACATAAATTAATTACAGCTGTAATTACATGCAGGTATTTTTAAAATATAAGTACAATGTAAAAACATGTATGTACACAGTAAGTCCATTGTATCAAATTATTAAGTTCGATGTTAGTACATAGTAGTTAAAGCCACTTAATATAAAGTGGGACCAAAAGACTTGTGAGTTTTTTGTTGCGCACAGAGGGATTTATTTGGTAAATCCATCGTAGTTTATGCGCATTTCTTCTTATCGGTAAAAGTTATTAATATTAGAATGTATGTGCATTTGCCGCTTCCATTCAGCGGTGTTTTTTATGCAATATCAAAATGTGCATAAAATAGGTGGATGGACACATAGCTAGTGAAGCTTGCCCCACTTTTGCTACAGCTGACCTGTTATCGGTAACACTACAGCTCTAATATTGTCATTTTACCACAATATGTTCCTGAATGACTGGCGTAAAACTGAGAGCAATTTAGCTCTGGCTCTAGCCTTTGGCTCTGGTGACGGCGATGCTTACTTTGCCCTCGGGTGAGGAGGAGGCCATCTTCCGCATGTTCTCCTGATCTTTGGGGTCAGTGGCGTATTGTGCCAGTTCATAAAGCACGTTTGTGCGTGGAGTATTCGTGATGTCCAGGTAGTGGGTCAGGGCGCTGCGGTACGTGGTGGGGCAGGGGAAGGGGTGCTTCTTATTGGACTCCTCTGAAAAGAAATACACACACACACACACACACACACATATATTTCAGCTATGTTGACAACTGGACAGACATGAATGAACTGTTCAAGTTGAACTTTTAAAGGTTAATGCCATACCATCAAGGTTGTTGAGGGAGATAACAATGTCAAGGTCCACACCAAGGATATCACCAATCCTGTTCACTATGGCTGTGTCGTTGATGGGATACACAGCAACATGGTCTCCTGATTCATATCTGCACAAACATTTTAAAGGAGCAATCAGTAAGCAGTTTAACACTAACTGAAACTCATTTTGCCAATAATAAAAAGTCTCCATTTAAAAATGAAATACACAAGAATCATTTGCATTCAACATTTTGAGAGCTAGTTACCCTCGTCCACACTGATTATCAAGCGAATGCGCTTTCTGTACAATCTTTTCAAAGAAATGACACCAAAGGTCCATTTAGTCCATTAAAAAGAACAATGATTTGCTAATGGTGAATATATTTTACTTTTACTTATAACTGATTTATAATGCATTATAAAGGTTCTCACATTGTAATGCAACACATTGGCGTCAACTACCCGCTTACCTATTCATGGTTACACATTTAACGGGTCATGAAACCACACTAGTTTTTTAGATATTAACCCACATTATTGAGAACAACAATATCACAACTTATTTGTACTATTAAGGGGAGAGATCAGTGTAAGATCACGCAGTGTAAGATCACGCAGTGTAAGATCACGCAGTGTAAGATCACCCAGTGTAAGATCACACACAGCACCTGATTTTAGAGCCGGTGATGTCCAGCTCCAGGTGCATCAGATGCCTCTCGCCGCCCTTGTTGAGCTTGCGGTTCACAGTGACTGGTGCCAGGAAAGGGTTCTTCGAATCGAACGGCCTGTGAGAACACACAATGAATAACAGACAGAACACCAAGCACACTTGATGGGGTCAGAGATTAAACAGGGCACAGAGCAGAAATGCCACCACAAGTGACACAAAATGACATTTAAAAATGAGGTGTCAAAAATTTCACTTTTTGTGCATTAGTCCACCCACCCCCCCGACCTATTTTATAGTATTCTATTTAATAATATTATATTATCATATATCAAAATATTTCATATCTAGTTATGAGTTAGTGCTGACACCACAGTGGCCTGTAGCAACTACACATCTGCATTCACTGTCTCAGCAGAGATGTGAAAAAAAAGCAGGACATTTTGTAAGACGCCGCGTGAAGACCCTACGCTAGGGAATGAGGCCATTGTTCAAAGTACTGAGCAATCGTCCATGCAGATGATTGACGTGTAGACTACTTTAACCCCCCCAAAAAAGTGTACAGAACACCGTGAGCTTATGTTAGCTGTCACCTATCACTCCCCCGAACGTCAGGGACAGCGAGCTTTACAATCTCTCAACCCAGCCTCTAACTTTACACTGTTCTCCACTTATTGCCATTGCAACAGCTCAAGACACGAGACACCAGGATCGGGTCTCGTTTGATGCTTCCGATTCTTATCAATTCCTAATTTCGATTCCAGTAAGGTTAATAAAAACATCAACACAAAAACGTATCTATCATTTATGATTATTTTAAGTCTTACTGCAAAACATTTAATTGTAGCTGAATATCATGAACAAAAATCATAAGGTAAAATGCACTAACACAAGGAACTTTTGCCTGTGCTTTAAAAATACCATAGCAAAAACAACTAGCCCAACTAATATAAATTTCAAGCAGTATTAAAGACAAGTAAATACTCAGTAATTAAAAAAAGAACAAATAAAAAAATAGCAATCGCAACATAAATACAACTGAACAAGTATACTATTGAAATAAACAGTGTTTTAAGATTTTCAAGTATTCAGGTTCAAAAACTAATCAAATGAAAAAAAATCACTGAACTTTATAAATAAAATAAACATTACAAATAGAAAAGTTATTGTTAAGAACGAGTGCATTTTCTCTTTATATTTTTTTGTTTGATTAGTGTTATTATCAGCAGGAATATTAGGCTGCAGTCAGAAAACAGATTTGAATGGTTTAAAATCATATTGAAATGCTTACAAAGGAATCAATAAGAGGAATCGAAATTTACATTTTTATAACAAGTATCCAATTCCTGACCTCCGTTTTTTCCCATTACTGATCTGCATGATTTACGTGGGTCAGGATTTTGGGCCGAAATAACCGGAATCGCAGATTAATCCGGAAGAATCAGATCCCTGCTCAGACGCAAGTGATTGAATTTGACCTTTAACATTAACTTAATTGAAGAACGCAAATTTACTTTGATGGATTGATTCAGCGGGTTTTCCTTGAAAAGTAAACATGCCCTTATAAAAGCCATTAGAGACATGCCCCTGAAAATCCATTACAAGGGGTAAATATTGACCTTTAATAAAAAAAGGTTTTCAAACTGTATTACGGTCTATATTATATGGAAATCTAGTCATTTTTAATTATAAAGTATCAAATATAATGTCTGTATCCGATCAAGCACAGCAGGAGTGTTTGTTCTGTCGTCAAGGTTACGTGAGGGAGATATTTAAACATGTGGGAGGGGCTTAAGCTTCTGTCTGACTGACGGATGAGAAAATGGTGCTTTACTCACGGCTTCTGGTTCTCAAAGCTCTTGAGGCGTCCCAGCTCTCCAGTGTAGACCTTATTCATGTTCAGATCGCTGTGTACCTTCAGCTCGTACTGGCGGATGCTGAGAGAGACAGAGTGTGTGAGAGAAAGACAGAGTACAACCCAGCAACTTTCACTTCACAAAGCCAAGAGTTTTGTGACAAGCTATTCTTCAGTTTGTCTATGGAGCAGTGTTTTCTAGTCTGAAAAGGCCTGTTAATTAAGCAGAGAACGGGCATGTTGAGCTCAGGTCACTGTGACCCACCAACAAAGAAGGAAAGACAAACAAAATCTCCTGAAGAGATGGACAGATCATTGAGGTTTCAGACCTGGATTCTTCACCAGTTGCTTCAACTCCGAAGTGTTCACAAACAGCTGGCCAGAACTGCTCTCTCCACGACACAAAATCCTCCTCGAGACTGACAGAGAATCAATGACAAAACATGCATTATGAACCTTTTTATTTTACATCAGCTGCTCCATGGGTTTGCTTCAGGACCCAGATGTTATATTGCAAATCAAGAACTTAACACAGTACCACAATTGTTTATCATATGACAGTGAACAACAAAGTCTAATTCACTCATAATTGTGTGGATAATGAAGTAGAACTGGTATGACATCAGAACCCAAAAGGACTAATTCACTGCTTGTTCCTTCGAGTTTTTTCAATGGGGTTTTTCAATTTATGAGTAAGACTGTATTTTTCTAAAATCGTTATTTCTGTTAGATTAAAGTTAGGTGTTTCCGCAAATCTGTGATCAGGGTAGATCATGGTTCCATACACTCACATGAATGATATTTTCACAAATCATACTATTATCACTGTTAGTTAGTTCTCAACTTCAAAATAACAAGGAATGTCATGTTTGGCATTAAAAGTAATGGGAAAAGATGGATTTTTTTTTTCTTTTAAAATGTAGAGAAGTAAAACATTTCCCAAATTGAAAATACCCTGATGATGTAAAAACACATGAAAAGTACAGTAACAGGGTAGAAATACTATCATACTATCCACTTTTGGAGTCTCATTTATTTCTCACATTGATATCGGTCGGGCACATTTTTAAAGTGAGCATTATAATCAGACAGAAGTGTGTAAATGAGTCACTCACTTTCCATCGTCGTCTCCCATTCCCAGGTCAAAGATCCTCTGCGCTCCCAGCTCTGCTAGCCTCTTGTCCACATACTTCCCCGTGGCGTTATAGTGCTCATATGTCTTATTGCCCAGTGCAAACACCTTAAAAATAATTTTTTAGAAATGATTTATACAAATAGATTAATTGTTCTATACTGTATATTCATTACATTCATGGCTTCACTAACACCTGGTATTAAGATCACAAGTAGCCAGCGCTAAATACAAGTGCTAATGTGCCCCAAAACCTTCTGAATTGAACTAGACAGAAACATACGTGATTACACTTCAGTTGTAGTGTTATTTTTCGCAGATCGAAAGATTTCGTTTTAACTTTTTTTGTGATTTAACAACATTGATGTATGTAGTCACGAAATCAGAGATCCTGCTTTTGAAATCAGATCAAAAGTTCACCACAGGAGACACAGTTAAGCACAAATACTATAACCTTTCATTTAAAATGTTGTGTTTTGTCATGGACAGACAAATTAAATGAACATCTTTTAATCCAATTATTTAATCCATGGATTCCTTGCTTTATAAATCAAATGAACTCATTTAATAATACAATACAATACAATACAATTTTATTTGTATAGCACATTTAAAAACAACTGGCGTTGACCAAAGTGCTTAACAAGGCCAAAAAGACAAACAAAAATATAAACATAAAACACACACATCAAGATGTATTAAAAGCTATTCAGAGAAAATGCGTTTTCAAAGTAGATTTAAAAATGGACAAAGTTTGGGCAGATCTGATGTATTCCTAGTTCGAGGGACAGAGAGTAAGTTTGAGTCCCCCGATCTGAGTGATCCTGACTGTGTGGGCGGAATAATTGATGATCTTTACAACAGAACTGAATCAACACTGAACTGACTTCAGCTGAACAACAGCCGAAATGCATAATTTTCCTATTATTAAGTATTATATTATATTAGCTGTTTTGAAACAATCTGTATGGTATAAAGCGCTATACAAATAAAGGTGACTTGACTGACTTTAAGATCTGTTACACATCTGTCAGGACTCTTTCACTCTGTTCACAATTTTGTCATTTTTTCATTTGCGATCACAGAAATGCACAAAACAACTCTTTTAGAAAAACACATTTAGAAAAAATATTGATAAAATATCATGTTTACATCACGTTTCTGAGCATTTCTATTCATTTTCCACAAAATGATGAGATGAGAGCGATCTCTCCCGTCTCACTATACTGTTATCCTTTCACCCAGAGCAACAGAGGCCGCTCATGAGAAGACAACAGGAGTTATTAGTTATAGTAAGAATTAACCGGATTGCATGTTTTTTATGACATATATGCGGATGCTTTAGTCCGGTAAAACAAAGGAACAGGGAGGGAAGAGACAGAAAAAACATGAAACCAAATAAATACACGATTCTAATCATATTTGATATGTCTACGTTCTTCAAGTCTCTGGTATTTTCCATAAACATATGTGTATTTATTATCGCAATGGTTAGCATAAGTAGCCTTAGCATAGCATATAAATATACTTCTGCCTCATACGGTGATCAGAATCCCCATCGGATCGCAAGGAGGATATATTTTAAACACCAGCTGGTGTCTGAAAGCGTGTTTTGAGCTGAAAATTGTTTAAAATGTCTTATATGTTGAGATTAGCTGGTAGCCTGACATGAACTCAGGTAAACTCCGCCTCTGTTCATGGCCACTCCTCAAGCACCAGTTGGCCAGCTTTGGACCAAGGTACTCGGCGGGCCAAAAACCCTGGCCGTTGCCCCGAGGAATCCCCCACGAGGCCCGATCAAGCTCCTGAAGTGACAGTGGAAACGCGACTGGCCCCGGCACGCACTAGCACACTCGCTCTCGGCCCAACAGTGGAAACATGGCTATTGAGTTCAAAATAACTGGAAGCGGATGACACTGGAAGCCAGGCACATTTAATTACAAATTGCCGTGCCCACGTTAAAATGGGTTTGGAACGATATGAAGAAGAGTAAAAGAAGGACTTTTCATTTTGGGTGAGCCGTTCCTTTAAATACACTTAAGCAGAAGTTACACAGTCATGTTTGTAGTTTGTACTTCTGCTAAATCTGTGGGCAAATATCTTTTCTCAGGGTTTGTTTTAAACCAGTGATTATGTTGAGTCACTGAACTTTGCACAACTTCTGTGTAGTATTCATGGAGTAAGCCGTCCGAGACATTGGCTTGTAGAAGTATGACACAGCATGTTCCCCAGAATCACTTCTGCTCTGCTGCAATGTGTCATGGGTCTTGTTTGTTATATAAGCATTTGTTGGAAAGTACCTAAAGTATTGGAAATACATAGTTTTTGGAGTTTTAAGTCTAAAAAGCTTGTGTATAACAAAGTGCTTTGACAACTGTTCAAGCTAAAAAGCTCAGAGCATACAGCTAATAAACTGAACCTGACAGGAGGAAGTCAGTGTGTCTTTGTTCCTAAAATCTTGAAATTGGTGTGATGAGGAACTCACTGTGTATTTAACTCCACTGAGGTCAGCATCGCCCTCCTGTAGCCAATCATAGAAGTCTTGAGCATTATCAGTGGGGTCGCCCTCTCCATACGTGGCCATGCAGAAGATCGCTAAAGAGTTGTCAATCTCAGCCAGACGAGAGAGCTCACCCTGGGAATAAAAATGTGTGGACACAAACACAAATTGGAAAGGGGGGGGAAAAAGAGCTCGTTGAAGATATAGACAATTTTCAGCCCACAGATGAAATAATGTTTGTGAAGTGCAATGAATAAATCTAGCACTGACAGAGACGACATATGCGTTACCATTTCATATTCCTCTGGGTCCGCTGCCATCCCCTTCATGCCGTAGCGATGAGCGTCTTTTGCAAGTCTATTGGAAAACTCTTCAGCTGTGCCCGTCTGTGAGCCGTAAAACACCACAATGTTCCTGCCCTAGAAGGTCATATTAAAAGTCATTATGTATTTCAATGCCTATCCCAAAGGATTCGCCAAAGAAACTATGTTCTCGTAACATAATTTGCACTTCATTGACTTTAAAAAGGGTTATTTTTACATCCTGCAAAGTCAGCACATTTTGAATAACTAAACAGACTAACCCTCAGAGGACGCTTGCTGGGGAGCCAATAATCAGTTCAATTCAAAAACATTATGAGGTTAGCTCTTCATCGGTGCCTGTTGGTTGTCTTCCCTCCCCATAATGTGCAAGCTTTGTCTTCCATATTGTTATGTTTTCTGAGATTGCACACGTGATATGTTCGGACCGAGATGTTCCATATCTGCTGTTGTGTCTAGACCACAGACTGTAAAGGAATATGGACGTAGTGTCTGTGACGTGAAGAGCATTTTTGAAGCCCTAAGTGGGCGGAGGTGAACTCTTTTATAGTTATAAACAAGGTATTAGGTGTCGCCCAGCCCGCCGCTCTGCAAATGTCTGTTAGCGACATTGTGTGCTCATATTCCAGAAGGGCACGGCACACCCTGTGCCTGGTACGTCAAGGCAATGACATCCACAATCCAGAGGGCCAAACTAGGTTTGGAAACAGCCTTCCCTTTCTGCTGTCCCCCAATCCAGAGAACGAGCCACTCAGAGTCAGAGTAAAGGGCAAGTACTGGACACAGCAACGATAGCCCTCTTCTCGGGGCACCGCTCGCAAGTTCACCACTTCATTCCTAAAAGGTTGTGGGAACTTTGAGCACGTGAGAGTGTGCCGGACCGAACCGGAAGCACGTTTAGCTGACAGAAAAGCTCAACTGAACGGTAGACTACAGAGGGAATAAGGCACGTTCTTGGAGGATTTAACCTCTGCCTCCTGAGGAACCTGATCATCCGGTTAATGCTTCCTGAAAGATCTGCCATGCACTGCATTGTGATGTGGACTCTAATTTGAAGAAACATGTTAAGGTAAATTTCAGATGTCTGCTTCTTCCTAAATGATCTGTTTATAGGCTAGCCCAGTGGTTCCCAACCTGGAGTCCGCACGCCCCTTGCCAGAGTTGCCCACAAAATGCATTGCAATCATTTCCCGAAATGTAATTTGTGTGGAAATATTAGAAGTCTGTAAAGGGGAATGCTAACAGAGGCCAGAGACGGGACAGAGGAGAGCAGAGAAAACACTGTCCCGGGCAGAGCAAGATCACCACTGAGATGCTCTGAATACGGGAAGACACTTCTTCACACTAAGCTGGGGTGGAGGTTTATATGAATGCATTTCTGAAGGGAACTGACTGACTTCACTAAAGTTTCGATGACATTTTCTTTTCATATTACCTCCATATGATTCTGAAACTTAAAGGATATTTTTTATAGTTTCTCAATTCACAAGCCCTTTAGAGATCTGTTTGAGGGCCTGTTTTGTCGGATCATTTTAACATATTAAACTCTACAGGAGAAGAGGAGGGTAAAGGTCTTACCGTTTTCTTCATTTTGTCAATAAAACTGGTGTCCCTTGTTGTTGGAGTCCTACAAAACACAGACAACCAGAAGTCATACAACAAAATGGATTACAGCAAGTATTTTATTAACTATTATGTATACAAATATGCCCAAAAAATACAAAAGTAAAGGAAGAAATATTGTTGAGGTTTCAAGCACTCCTGAAAACACTGAATCAATGTGTGTCCAGTAACAACAGACAGCGGATGCCAAAAAGACCACATTGATCTGGAATTTATTGTCATTTACACCTGAGTTTTAAGAAAAATATGGGGTCTATTCAAGATTCAGGATTATTTTTTGTCTAGAAAAAAGTGCTCACTCTCACACTCATGTCATTCGCAAGAAGCGCCAAAATCCGAGCAACATCACGTCTGAAGCTACATCCCCAATTATTATAGCAGCCGGATTAACGAGTTCACATATAGCATGATGTTTTAACATCATATAAAGATTATGTTGGCAGACAGGCAAAACTGAAAACTGTCTTTTTTCTTTTAATGTTGATATTAAGGGGAATTTTTTTTTTTTTTACTGCAAATTTTCATTTGAGTGTTATAAATCAATAAATATATAAGACGAATGTCAAATATAAAAGAATTAGTTGAAAGTAAATGTAAAAGAATTGATAAAAGAACTATACAAAAGTTAAACAATTGTTGAAGAACAACAGAAGAACAGAATAATAATAATTTCAGAGTAATAACATGTAACCACCACACAATCATCTTGTTCAACTTTCATCCAGCTGTATTGACACTTATGCACCTCGACACTGAAATCCAGGAAGAGAGCAACCTTTGAGTGTTTACAATCGTCATCCAGAAGAACCCTTGCCTTCATCTTTCCATCAACACACACACACACACACACACAATACAATTGTTCAATGGTTCAAGAGAGTGCAGTGAATGGAGAAAGCGTGAGAGACTTTTCACTGTGTAAAAACTCTGGGCTCACGGCCAACTATTGCACAAGGATGTGAATAGTGGGATTTAATGTGTGACAACTACAGTGTTTACCTCCAGTGTTTTAAATATACTATTGTCTATTCAACAAGAGAATGCTTTTGCACTTTCATTAATGCTTTTGGCCATCAAATATGATATGGGACACATGTAAATCTATGGAGCAATGATGTTATGTAAAGAAATCAAAGCTTGAACAAGAAGTCATTGCTGTTATATAATAACAAGCTGTTTTTTCCCCCCCAAGACTTACACATGTGCGTTACTTACACAGGACCAAGACTGAAATACACTGCTCTATAGGGTAAGAAGATGTGTAACGTTTTAAATATTACATCTTCGCCTCTCCGCTCTGGGTGTCATGTCATGACTATCACAGTAAACACTCACTCACCTGTCTATTGCGGCCAGCCGGTCCTCCGGTAAGGAAAACACACACCCCATGGTGACCAGAAGCACGTCCAAGAAAGCTGACCGCAAGACAAACTCGTCGACAAACCATTAACTAAAGCGCACGCTGGAAAAACAAGGCACCGCTATGGGTAAGAGGGAACATCTGTTGTACATGCTGGAGAATCAGAGGCTTCCTGCTCACACCGACGGAGACACAAGACCAGAGCGCTGATAAATAGAGCAAAGAAACCCTAATGAGGACCTGAAGGAGAGCTTGAATGTGATTGTGTGTGAAGGAGTTGATCCCAGAGTAAAGCAGCATTCCTGACACAGCTCGCGAGAGGCTTTTCCGCCGTCCCTCCTCCATCACAAAGCTCTGCAGACGGACACAGCTACTGACTCTCTGAACCAGCCTCATGTCAACAGGGTTCAGTGCTCATATCCTGTTAGACTATGTTCACTACGGTCTCAAACACGAGCACCAGCAACATCTGGACACCACGAAGCAGGACCCTGATGAAATCCCATGCGTGAGCAGCAAATCTGAAGCATTCGGACAAGCCAAAACTCATGTAAACACAAGGAGAACGTGATTACGGTCTGTTGGTTTCTTATTGTTCTTCATCCTCTCGCCATCCCGGAGAGAAAAGACACACACAATCAAGCAAACGCCAGGATAATCCTGTAGCCGTGGCAACCGCTTTGAAAAATGACAGTTGCTTGTTTTGAAGACGGCGAATGAGTGCGGTCGGCCCCTCCCTCCAGAGAGCAGGATCGCCATGGCAACCACATCTATCATAAAAGCCGGATCCTCCGGTGACAGGCCAGGCACCGAGACAAATTGGAAATGGTTTCCACATAAATGGGGAAGAGAGAGAGAGAGAGAGAGAGAGAGAGAGAGAGAGAGAGAGAGAGGAATAGGGTGAACATAATGGAGGGCTTGTGTTCTGCCTCAACTTTCCACCTTTGGAAAGCTCAGAGAAAGACTTGGCTGGCCTTGCCAAATACAACCCCCAATTGACATGAGACTCTGAAAAGATATACATACTTTCATAAGCACAACATTAAAGTAATATAACAGAGAGAGAGAGAGAGAGAGAGAGAGAGAGAGAGAGAGAGAGAGAGAGAGAGAGAGAGAGAGAGAGAGAGAGAGAGAGAGAGAGAGAGAGAGAGAGAAAGGACATACCGCCATTTCTTACAGTCTCCATTACAATGAAAACAATTCTTTAAGTTAAAATGGTCGTTCAGGGTTGCTGCACATTTTTTAAAGTTGAATTTAAGGCTTTTAAGACCTGAAGAAATAAAAAATTATTACTGTACATTAGGGATGAGCAATATTGACGACAAAATTATTTCTCGATATTTTCACTTTTTTGTTGATAACAATAATTAGATGATATTTAGCTGAGTGTGTTTTTGTGCTGGTACAGTGGCTGGTTTAGGCCTGTTCTGACTCACGAAGACATTCATATTATTCATATTCTATGTGGAATATGAATAAACTGCGACAGAAATTAACTTTATTTGACAATATTTGTATTACCTCACACAGACACACACTGAAAATTTCAAAAACTTTTAGCCTTTTATGTTCAAACCGGAGTCTTACTATCTTCTAGTCATTGATTAGCATATTCTGTCATGATAATCTATAAAACACACTTCTTTAACTAATTCTGGGACTCGAGCCTCATTCAATTCACTAATATTCATCTAATTCGCCTTTCCCAAAAAACCCAGACATCGATTGTTCCCACAGAATGTTCTGATAGACTTATTTTAACGTGACACAGTTGTTTAGAAACATGGCACGTCTGCGCATCAAATATGTCTGTCTAGCAGCTTTACATACATTTCTTTTGTTTGTAATGAATGGTGCAGTGGAACACAACTATTTATTTTGTGTGAACTAGCCATTACTCTAGTAAATTAGATCACCCTATTTAGTGTCATGTTTACTAGTTAAAATACAGTAGTTTGACTGATTCTAAAATCAAATTTCTAGTTTTGCTAGTTGACAGAGTGTATATTTATTGTACATTTTATTGCATAAAAGATGGTTTAATTTTTGACAATAGTACTGTAGTAACTTGACTGATTAGTAGAATTAGTAAAATTATATCCTTCATGCGACTGGTGTTATTTATTGTTTATTAAAAATGACTATCAATTTAATTGAAATGAAAATATAGCACTTTAAAGAAGGAAATTATGCATTCACGAACATTGAAATATATTTTCATATTTTTTTACGAAATTTTGTCAGTATTTGTGGGGACACTACTGACGTTTACATGCACGACTTTTGTTTCAATCGGAATTAATTCATTGCGAATGATGAATCCAAACGTAGAATTTACACGAGCACTACATGAAGTGATCGGGTTAATGTGCGCGCTTAGGCCACAAGCTTCGGAATTGATTTTTTTTTACGCACAAATATACAGTTTCCCACTGTTTGCACATACTACTCTCCTATGTTGCTTATTTTCTTTGATTTCGGGTCCTAATAAGCACATAAACTGTTGTCCCGTGCTGCTCAAATGAATTAAGTGGTAAAAACTCCCCAAATAAAGTGTCTGTGGATGCGAGTATGAGGAGACTGATGGGACATCGACTTCACAGATGATCAGTGGGAGGAGAACTTGAGAATCACATGACTTCATTCAACAGCAACACACTTGCGTCATACGACATTACGCCATTTCAGTTTCAGTTTTCAATCCGCTGTTTTCAACAAGCGTTTACATGTTCTCTCGATCAGATTACAAAAGCTTTAAACCACCCCTTTCAATCCGAATGAAAGTTTAATGGGATTTGGCCGGTTCATTGCGACTGATTGACGTGGTTGCATGTTACTCCGACTGCGCTACTAGTAGATTATTAGGGTCCATTGAAACTCAGCTGCTGATGAAAACACACTCGGGGCCAGATCCACTATCAGCTTGCACCAACACAAACCCTCTTCTGGTGTTGGAAAACTACTGTCAGGATTTACTGAAGCACTGAAAGGCGTGGACAGCTGTTTTTGCGGCTGATCTTATTGCGTTTGCATCTGTAAGAGTTTCCCTTTCAGACGCTAAATCAATGGGAGGAGAGAATTTAAATGAATCACGCAAGGTGATTTACTAAGGTTTGCTCTCGTCAACTGGTATTTGCCATTATGTAAAGCCCAAGAAAACATGTCTGAACCCGTTCGGCACTCGACATGCTGTGATCGTTGCTGTAAGAAGAGGAAGAGCAGGGAACGGAGAGCATGTGATCATCTGTTTCTCTGCTCCTGTTCGTTTGCCAGATGAAGATGCTATACCAACATATGATTTGCCAAGCCACATTATTTTTAATTTGCTATGCTTGTGTTGTTGGTAGATTACCCGCACCTGATTTGTGACCCTACGTTATTTTGTGCTGCTCTTGGTAGACTGCATTGGTCATTTTGGAAATGAGATGCTGAGTCTGTTCTTAAATGCTCATTGTCTGTAGATCACGCACAGAAGTTTCCACTCTCATCTGCGCTTTTATGGGATTATGGTCTCACGGTAATTTTCCTGTTTAGTCAATCTGGCCCATGATCTCTCTCTGTCTCACACACACACACACAACTTTTAGCAACATGAACTAGCTCAGAATTGATTCTTGGAATAGAATCGGAGTCGATTAAAAGAT